ATTTAATTTAGCATAAAAATAAGCCATTTATAACTTTATTAAAATATATAAAGAAATACTAATTAAGAAGAATAAAAGCCCCTAGGCATTAGCCTTATATTTAATCCTAAAGAAACCCATCCCCTTAAGTAAAAATGCACTTAAATCGCAGCAAATAATTTAGCATTTTTATTATAATTATTAAGAGCTTAATAAGTATATTAAGAAGCATGCATACTTTATACTTAATGCAATAAATTAAATTTAATATGCAATAAGTTATAAATATTATACCTTTATTAACTTAAAGAATAGCTTTTAGCATATCGGCATTTATTATATAAATGTTAAGAAGATAGCGTTTATTACCCCCTTTAGCTTATATAAATAATTAATAATATTATTTAGCTTATATAATAGCTTAACTACCTTTTAAGCTTTTATTAAGGAAGTCTTTTAAAACCTTTAAGATATTATATATAGCCTTTTAAATAACATTGCTATATAAGCAAATTCTATGCTATAATTATATAAATATTTGCTTATAATCTTTTAATAATTATATTACTATGGTTTTATTCTTAATACTTAAAAAATTTCCCTCTTTATTTATAAGGGTATATTTTTAAGCTTTTTTATTTTAAAAAAGGCATTACAGTAAACTTAGTAAAGATTACAGCCATTTATAATCAACCTATGTTAATTATAATTATGGAAATTTAAGGCTTTATTAATATTACTAAGTACTTTTAAAACCTAATATAGGTATATTTTAAGAGGATTAGCGCTTTAATTAACTATATTAATAATCTTAAAGGTTAACTAATTACCCTATTAAAAATAGCATAATAATAATAGCAAAATATTTATAATGCTATTATTACTCTTTTAATTATTAGGACTTTTAATTAGCAACTCCCTTTTATAATAAAGATAAATGCTAGCTAAAGCTTTATAAGCACTGCCTTTTTTTAATTATATTTATATAAAACTAAGTTTATTTTACATTTAATTTTATACTTTTTAAAAAAGTTAATAAATATATAAACTTAATATTTTATTTAAAAATAAAAACTTTTTAATATATTATTAGCACTTTAATATTAATCTTATTAAATTTAAAGTATAAAAATTATTATCTTTATAAATTATAAGTTCCTTAAAACTCTTAATATAAAGGCTAATTAATCGCTAAGAATTATATATTTTCTTAATATTATTAAGCATTATAATATTTATATTATATATTGCATTAATAAAATTAATATTTTTGCTAACTACCTTTTTAAGCTATTTAAAAATATAATCTTTAAATTTATTTTACCTATTTTTAAGTAAGGAGAAAAGAGGGATTTGCTTAAGTAAATTTAATACTCTTATAAGCTTAATTAAATGAATTTATAAGCAATTTTTAAATACCTTTAAGAAGGAATTAATTTCCCCCTTGCCATTAACTTAAAATAAATAAAGAAGCACTTTATAATTATTTAAGAATAGTTATATAGAATTTATATATATAAATAATAACTTAATAATCCTCCTTATAATGCTAATATTGCTTTAAAGGTAATACTTTTTTTATTAATTTTAAAATATAATGATTTACTTATAATTATAAAGAAGCTATACTTAGCATATAATTATTTAATAATTAATAATACCCTTTAAGAAGTATTAAAGGAGCATTAGTACCTTAAAATTACTTTCGCTATTTAGTAAGTTATTATTAAGTATATAAAGTATTAGCTAATAAAGATACTTAACTTAATATTATTAAACCTTAACCTTATTGCGTTATTAACTTTATTAATAAGATAGGCTATTAACTTTATATTAATTAATAGCATATTAATTTTAATAGTTATTAAATATATTATTAAATATATTAAAGCAAAGGTTATATTAAATTAATGATTTAAAAGCATTTTCTTATTATTAAATAAGATTATTAATATCTTTAATATACTTAATGAATAAATCTTTAATAATGCTAATTGCTTTGCTAATAAGGCTATCTTAGCTTAATATTATTAATATAAATTAAAGCTATGCCTAATTACGTTAATTAAGTTAAAAAGCAATAATAAAGTTAAGAAAGTTAATAAAGACTTAAAGCATATAATTTTATAAAAGTAGCTAACTAACTTAAATTAAGATATTTAAGCTTTAATATAATAAGTAGTTATATTATATAATTAAATTTTAAAGTTAAATAAGTATAACTCCTATTTTCTTTTCCTTAATATATTATTACCTTTAAGGTGCAAACCTTATATTACTTATATATAAAAACTTATAAAGCAAAAAGATAATAACTTTATAAAGCAATTAGTTAAGGAATATAAGGCTTTATTAGCATAAAACCATGCTATAAGGTTAAAAGCCTTTTATAATTAAATTTAAGCATTTTTTTAAAAAAGCAAGGCATTACTATATATATTTACTTTTAATAAGTAGGTTTTGCAAGTATATTAACATATTTATAAGCATAAACCTTATTATAATAATCCCTAAGTTATTACTATTTATTACATTAGCAATACCTATACTCTTCGCAGCCTTAATAGCATTATATTTAAAAATATATATAATAGCATAAACCTCTTCTTAGCATATATTATAAATAATTACCTTATTAAAAGCCTATAATATATTAATAAAATAATGCTTTAATATAATTATAATTAAATCGCTTAATTAATGCAACTTAACTAAGAATAAAAAGCAATAGCTTGCTAGCTATTATTAGCTGCTTATTAATATTTTATTAACTTAACTAAATACCTTGTTTTTAAGCAATTTATGCCTTTTATACTTAAATAATTAAAAGAAAGATAAAAAAGGAAATTAGCTAAATTAAGAGTTAAACTTAAGATTTCCTTATTTAAAGAGCTATTCTTTAAAGATTGCCATTTTTTTAGCAGATCTTCGCAAAAGTAGTTAAATTAAGAAGCAAACTACTAAGATAAATAAAGGTGCATTATTATTATGTTACTTTATTATTTATTATAATAATAAGAAGGAATAATTATTTAATAGGGGCATGAATTAAATATTAAGCATATATCCTACTTTTTCTTATTAAAGGATATAATTTATATAATAAAACTAAGGATAATTTATTTAGGGAAGGGGATAATATAGATTTATAAATAGCGAGCAAGTAGCTGCTTATATAAGCAGCGTTGCAGCTTAAAACACCAAAGGCATTGCCCTTTAAGCGTAATTAATAACTAAGCAATTTACATATTTATATTATATAGTTTATAGCGTCCCTTGTGATTATTGCAGTGCTGTTTAGTGGGTTAGGTGCATAAAGAAGCACATTTATAATATTATTATAAGTTTAATTATATTTAATTCTTTTTTATAATAAAATAAAAATAAATATAAGCTTTAATTAAAGCTTTAAATTAAAATATAAAATAATTTAATAATATTTAATATAAAAATAAAAAAAAGAAATTAATAAATAATTAATTTATAATTAAATTTTTATTTTCTTTTATTATTAATTAAAGATATATAAAATTAAAATTAAGTTTAAGCTAAATTATTAATAAAAATAAGTTAATTAAATAAATAAAGAATAAACTTTATTAAATTTTCTTAAGAATAATTTAAGAAGGAGCTTTAATATAATAAAAAGAAAAGATAAGAATAAAAGGGAGCTAAAAAAGAAAAAAGGTAAATATTTTAAAAATTCTTAAAAATAAGAAAAGTTTAATTAAAGCATTAAATATATAAGAAAAGAAAAGAATTAATTTCTTAAAAGAATATTTAAAATAAGCGAAAAAGCTAGCTTGTATAACTAGCTGGAATTTAATGCGGTATTATTTCTTATGTATTTCCTTGTTTTCGTTAATATTATATAAAATTTTAATTAATGTTTTATAATGCAGATTTAAGTTATTTAAATAAATTAAATTTTATCTTTTAATAAATACTTTCTTTTTCCTTAATTAATAAAAAGATAAAGGGTTTTTTTAAGTTATAATATAAGTATATAGCTTTAACTATTTTTACATTTTAATTAATATATAATGAAGATAATTAAGGATTTATTTAAGTATTTATTTCTTTACTTTTATTAATTTATAATTATATTAAGTAATTATTAATTAATATTAAATGGCGTTTGCTATATAATTAATATATATATATATATATAATTATATAATTATGTTTATATTTATTATTATTTCTAGTTAATTATTAAAACAATAGCTTTTGCAAGGTGATTAAATAAAGCTATTATATTAATTAAATGAGATAATTAAGCTTATTTTATTAAGGGGATAACATATGGTTTAATGGAGTGTTATTTTAATAATTATATTATTTCGAATTAATGTTTTTATTATAAGTAATTAGAAAATATTTTAAAGTATTAAAAAGTAATTAAGAATAAAGGGTATAAAGGGGGGGTTCAAGGTTACTTTATTAATGGAATATAAATAAATGTATTAAGCTATATGTGAATTTATGCATAAGCTTAGGGCTGCTGAGGAATAGTCGGAAAGCTGAGCTGATACCAGATAGACCAATGAACAGTTGATTTTTAAAAAAGAAAACACAGTGTGGCCGAAGCCCGAGAACACTAAATAGCATCCTTATTGTGATTAACACTGCTGCTACTGTTTTCAATATATCTTGTGGTGATGACGAGTGGCAGACAACCACGGAAGACGTTTGCCAATGGGGATTCCAATTCTTACCGGGGCCGTCGAATCCACGAGAGATCTGCGCTCTCTTCCACGAATTCCACTGAAAAATTCAAAGATGCATCGCAGACGATGATCGACATAATCCGATCCTAATCAGCCCGGGACGAGCATACTTGGGCGTCTGTGTGAAATGACGTGTGTTTTTTTTCCTTACTTTTGTGGCCAGTAATTATTTCATTCTTGAAGCCTACATAGTATTAAAACAAATCTCAAGCAGCCAACTACACGGTGTTGCTCACTATAGTGCACCTCGCACTATATCCGTACTAGTAGATCCGTAGATGGATGGACCATTTACGCTTGAGCCTGAGCTTCAACCTTGGCAATAGCATCCTTAGGAAAGGAGAACTGGTTGCGGAACCGCTTGATCAGGAGCTCGCCAACAGTCTCCTTGATCGGGTCGTCCGGGTTGAGGGGGTTCGTGGCGTAGACGTCGCCGTGGAAGAAGGTGGCACACGAGAGCCGAGGCTCGTTGTCGGCCTTGTTGATGACCCTGTGCCGCGCGCTCTTGAACCGGCACCCGGACCACTTCATGATCATGTCGCCGCAGTTGATGACGTAGACGTCCTCGAGCGCCTGCACGGGCAGCCAGGCCTCCCTGTCCTCGACCCAGACCTCGAGGCCGTCCTTGCCTGGCTCCTGCAGCAGCACGGTGACGCCGCCGAAGTCGGTGTGCGCCCCGACGCCGAACTGCCCAGGGAGTGTGGTGGCCAGCGGTGGGTAGCGGATCATCTTCATCTGCACCATGGGCTTCTTGGCGAAGGCTTCCATGGTGGAGAGTGGGTGCCCGAGTGCCAGGAGCAGGATCTCCCAGATCTTCTCTCCGAGATCCTTGGTCGCCTGGTAGTAACTCCATACCGGATCACGAAATTTGTCGTCGGGCAGATCGGGCCACACGTTGGGGCCGTAGAAACCATAGTGCTCCACGGCAGGGTCGTCTCTTCCGATGTAGAAAGCCTTCGCAACTGGGTCAGCGGTGAGGTCTCGACTCGCGAGCGACTCTGCAGCGCGGCGTACCTCTTTGGAGTCGGGCAAAGCGTCACCTTCGCGAAGCGACATGCCCGATTTCTCATAGCCTCGGCGGCTTGGATTCTTGAGGAAAGAAAGTGCAAGCTTTTCTTCGTCGGGCAGTTCGAACAGTGTGTTTATGCTGCTGAGCAGCCCCTTTTGAAGACCCGCAGGAATGCCGTGGCCGGTGGCCTGGAAGAAGCCAAACTCTGAGCATGCATCTCGGACAGCCGCAATGACCTTCTCCTTATCTCCTGGTGCTTTCGGGTTGATGTAACCGCTAAGGTCGACCAAGGGCAGATTGACTTGGTCTGTAGGCATGCTGTCTTCTCTGAGCTCGGGAGATCTTTGTGGAATTGTCAAGTTGACTGCGGAGCAAGGCCTGAGGCTGATACTTCGCACAGCTGGACAGGAACGAGGCAGGGAGCATCACCGTAAGAGCACTTTTAAATGTGACGGTTGATTTGCGTGTAAGACAGACCAAACGACCTACAGACGGAAACCGGAAACATCAAGTCAAATCCGCAGGTCATTCCAAGCGGGTTTGACATCGGGATCAATTCTCGCGCCTCGGTCTTTGAGTAAAGCCACAGCTCTGTCCTGCACACTCAGTGCCGCAACGAGCTTTGGATGTTTTCAAATAGGTCAAGATCGTACGATCAGCAGAATGGGCCGAATTCCGCCTTCCATTCTGTGGCAGTCTTGAGCAAAGTATCAATTCCAACAGTTTCGGCGGTTTTGACCTTATTTAGCTCCTGGGAATTTGGCGCGGACTCGGTCTGTCTGACGGTGGCAGAAAGCACCGAATGATGACAAGCATTCTTATGCATGAATGTGATAAGCACCGACCCGGCTCCCAAGCCTGGTACAAGGACATGTGTCTCAGGTGTCGTCGATTACGTGGAAGAGAGACGATACTAGTAGAGACAAAAGGAAGTATCATTCTCTCCAAGGTTTATAGAAAGTATCTGATCTTCCTGACTGTTTGTCCAGCCGCCCTGCCCTTGACAGTTCCTTCTTGAATAAGGGCCGAGCCTTTACAAGCTAAGAGTCGAAAATGCACGTCCTCATTGTCGGAGCCGGCCTTGGTGGGCTGGCTCTTGCCCAGATCCTCCGACAGCAGGGCATTTCGTTTGAGGTCTTTGAACGCGATGAACATAAAGATGCACGCTTTCAGGGGTGGGCGATCGTGTTACACAGGTGATCCCGGCTCCACAGTGGCCCGTCTACCACTCTACCCACCGCCTTAGGCGACAGCGTTAACACGGGCTTAGCATAATCGATCAGCTGCTGTCTCTCTTCCCGTCGGACATGCCAGACTTGCGAGACTCAACAAATCATCTTGCTCCATTGGCATTGCCCACGCAGCTCGTCTACTACTATGGCTACATGGAAGGCCGGTTCGGTCTGGAGGTCTGCATCTACAAGCCCCAAAACTGCACTAGAAAGCCCGTGAACTGAACAAGTTGGTGCCAGGACACGCCCCGGTTTCCTATCATTCGAGCGGAGCGTTCGAGATTGCGAGACTGGCTTTTGACCAAGATTCCCGTTCAATGGGGGAGGAAGGCCGAACGCGTCGAATACAACGATGATGGGGCCGAAGTCTTCTTCCACGACGGCACAAGTGCCAAAGGCGATTTTGTCGTCGGCGCAGACGGCGCCAACAGCATTGGTAGGTATTCCGGTAGAGATCCAGATTCTCTTTGATGCAATCACAACCGTACCTGACGAACATGCACGATACAGTGCGCGAGAGCTTGCTTCAAAAGCCCAGCAGTGAGCTGCTGAGCCACGTCCCCCTGAGCGCCATCGTGGGAGAAGTGACCTTATCCGGCGACGCCTTCAGGCGCCAAATGGCGCTTGGATACAGCGCCTATAATCTCATCAACCCGGAGCTCGGCTTCATCGGGTTCGTCGGGTTGCACCAGGCGTTGCCAGACGGACAGTCTGGCCAGTTCTACTGGATGCTCATGCAGCCCGATCAGAACATCGCGGAGCCCAACCACTGGCTCCACTCGAGCACCCAGCGGGAGAAGCTGGATCACGTCCTCGAAACAGTCGCGCCGCTGGCCGCCCCCCTCAGGGAGATCTTCGAGCTGACGCCGGCCGACGGGATCAGGAGGGACCTGCACGCGTGGAAGGACCTCGAGCTCGAGCACCTGCCTGCTGGCCGCACTGCCATCCTGGGCGACGCGGCTCACGCCATGACGCCGGCGGGTGGCATGGGTGCGTTCCACGCCCTGATCGACGCCATGAAGCTGGGTCAGGCGCTTTGCAAGCTCAACGGCGAGGACACGATGGGCAATATTGCGGTCGTCAGGGCTACTGTTGCTGAGTTCAACGGCGAGATGCTCGGGAGAGGTGCAGCCGCCGTGCGAAGCTCTCGTGATTCCTACGAGGGGGCAAAGAGGCGGGCTGAGACCAAGGAACATTTCACCAGGGGCTTGAGACCACTACCCGCAGTCAAACCTGAGGACATTGTGCTGGAAATAAAGGCGTAGAACAATCTCCTGTTTACACCCCACCCTGTTGTCATGATAATCTCGATCCATATATCTCATGAATTTACGTCCAGTAGTCTAGTTGAGTAGAGAGACTGCTGCAGCATGTTACGTATGATCGGTTTCTGGTCAGCGTATTTGAAGGCGTGGTGCTGTGTCACCTCTACACTTGTGCAGTTGCATATCGCAACTGCTCTTTGGGGCCTGAAGAACAACAATTTTTATATCATGGACGATGATGTGTGGGAAAAGGTCGACAAAATTGCCTTGCATGTCAATCTGGAAGGCACACAGGGGACAACAAAATTACCATGGCCTCTAAGTCAAAACTTCCTGCAAATTTCAAAGTAGTCGTGCATGCTGTCTCTCTACAAAACGCTCTGCTTATAACAGTGGTGCCTGTACGGCTGATCGCTTGAGGTCTTAAGCTCTGCGAGCTGGCTCCTGACCCTCCACGAGAGGTCCCAGTGGATCTTCTTCGATAGGGGACTTAGCCGCTCATCGTTGAATCTTCGGTAGGAATACCGAGCGCATGCATAATGCACTTCTCGGCGACAGTGTCTTTTTATGTTTGAGAGAAGGGGGTGTGGCGCGAGAGACCAGCCCAGAGCGAGCAACTTGAATGCCATCTCAAATGGACTCATCTTTGTATGCGCTTGGATCCCTCGTGCCCACTCCGGACTTGATATAAATCATATCCATCGCCCTGGCCTGGGCGATGCTGTCCTCGGGCGAGACCCATGTCCCTGTTCCATCGCGGCCCCGGACCTTGTGCACGAATTGCTCAAGCATGTGCCGGTAGGTCGACCAGTGAACCCCGCCGGGCTGGTCCACATCCATCTCCCTGAATGTGTACGCTTTCTTATGCTCGGTCCGCTCGAACGTGCGGACCGCCTCCGTAGGCGCGCGGCGCACCTCGAACGTGTCCACGACGTCGACGCGATGATAGTGTGGCGAGAACATGAAATTCCAAAAGATAACCTTACGCGTCTTGATAACCTGCGCACCCTCCTCCTCCCCGGCCTCTGCCGCGGGTACCGCGACTGGTCGGTGAGTGACGGTAATGGTGGGCAGCCCCAGCCTGGTGTTGGGCGCCCGCATCGTCCCGCGGATCTCTCCCACGCCGCCGTTTGGGAAGCTGAAGCGCGCGTGGAACGTATGGTCGCATCGCTCCCGCGGCGGCGGCATGACCTCCATGCTGGCTTCGATACACGCCGTCGGCTCTGCCGCGAAGGACGCGCGAAGGCCGGCGACTGGGTACGTGCCCAGATCGAGGAGGGCGCCGCCTCCAAGCTGAAAATTAAAACGGATGTCGTCGTCGCCGACTACGAAAGAGGGTACCGCGGCTGTGGCCAGGACGTGGGCTACGTTGGGCGGGTCGATTGTGGACTGGAAAAGCTGCCAGGCCGGGGTGAAACGGTTATGGAATGCCTCCAGGAGGACAGGACGGTCCTGATTATTGCTCGGCTGGGTCAGGATGGGATGGCGAAAAAGCCTCTCGGTATCGCTAGCGTTGCTGGTCGCGGACTTCTCGAGAAGGACGTGCTTGCCCTTGGCCAGGGCCTTGAGAGCCCATTCGTAGTGAAGTCTGATTGGGAGGGGAATGTACACCGCGTCAATCTCATCATTGTCGAGGATTTCTATTCCCGGTTAGATAAAGCTCAAGGTGAATATCTGGTTCGCGGATACTACCATCATAGCTGTCCAGAACGAGCGGGATATAGTGTTTTGCCGCGAACGCTGTCGCCCGCGTCTTGTCGCGCGCGGCCACGGCGTAGACAACGACTTCGGGATGGCTCTTCGCTGGGGTAATGAACGCGGTCGGCCTGCGTTCTCCACATATCAGCATCGTCTTCATCTGACAAATACAGTTCTTAGACCCGTCTCACGCGATATTTGCAGCGCCCAAGATGCCAAATCTCAGCGCATGTTTCTCCTTCGGTACCACGGGCGGGTTGAGAATGACCCAGTTGCGGTGCAGACCGCTCAGGAATGACCCCATATCGCGAATGCGTCAGAAATTGAATGCAATAGCCACAGTAATGTGTCTCGCATAAGTTTAAACCCCCTGGAGCAGGTTGCGGTTGTTGTTAAATGCGATCTTTGCATCCACGGACTGGTATGTAAAAGTGAAGATAACTTCTCTTGCGAGCTCATGACAGCCCCTGAACTGCTCAAGGCGGGTGAATTTGCCCTGCTGACAGATGATGGGTACAAAAGAGCTGACAAATTAACTCGCCGAGCCGGATGGGTAAGACAATAATGACAGCCACCGCATGCAGCCAAGGAGAAATATCTTGCTTGATTGAGTCAAAGGCGAGGGTCCTCCCATCGTTTAGCCCGCTCCCTGTTAGGGCCCCTTTTTCACGCCAGGAATAATCAAAATCTAAGATTAATTCAGGCCATCTTATCATCAAATCTTGAGAAATATTCTACTTACTTCTTATGCTTCCTTTCAAGGTAACAGAATGGGTATAAAAACCTAGTTACCACCTGGAGAACACACCTACAGGTTCTAAAAGCTCACCCTTGGGCTTGGAACGCTTGGGAAGAACAACAGCTAATCGACGAAACAACTCCTTGCTTATGCTGTTCCATGCTTTGTCACTTTTTGCCTGTCTATATCGTTCTATGCTGAATATCGCACTGCCGCCTGAGTATGGACAGCCTGTCCTGGATCCTTTTCTTCAACTCGATCGACCTCTCCCGGCTCGTCGGCTCAAAACCCGGCCCAATCTGAGTCAAATTCCCAGTCTGCGCAGAATTTAGAGCATTTTGCGACCTCGCTGATGTCAAAAACAAGCTGACAGCCTGGTGTTGACGCTCGATAAGGTGGGAACAGAGCTCGATGACTAGGACCCATCGCACAGCCCCGAGGACCGGCCCGTGTGGGTGATCACCGCCATCTATCTCGTGTTCCAGAGCTATAACAACGGCCTCGTAGATTTCTAGCAGCAAGCTATCGCAGACCATAATAAAATTGTTGATAATCATGTCGCAGTGCGATTGCATGTTTGGCAGCAAAGGGGTGGATGACACCGAGCTGCTCTGTGTCATTATCCCAAAGTACCCGTCAGCCGGGCCGGCGACAGAGCTCGACGGTGTTTGCAGCCCAGCAGTTACCGGCGACGGGGTTCTCGGGTAGGCGCTGTCGATTTCCAGGGCATGGAGGATTTCCAGCAGGGATTGTGAGGCTGAGAATACTTGGCTGAGGGTATTTTCCCTACCAGGGGGCATCGCGGGTTTCGACCCAGGACTGGGCTCGGGGATTTGGGCCTGGGCCGCCAGGTTGGCCACGTTGACCTGGATCGTGGAATGTATGTTGGTGCTTGCCACCCCATGTATGTTTGCGAGCCAGGAGACCACGGACTCGAAGGCAGTGCCATACACCAAGGACGCACCTCGACCGTCCGCGAGATTTTCCGACGACGCTTCCGCTGCCATGGCCATGCTCGAGCTCATGAACCGTAAGGAGGTCACACGCATGCTCAGCTGTGACAGGTGTCCGATGACTGGATGTGGGAGGCTTGCGTATTTGTTCCTAGCCCTCTCTTCAACTTCTTCGACGTCGTTAGTCGTGGAGTCATCCAGGGAGAGCACGGGAACAGGTGGAAAGCTCGACTGAGTAGGAGCCAAAGTCGTACTGATGGAGGACAGAGGAAAGCCGGTCGGTCGAGTGCCTGTCCGATCGTCCGCAAAAGTGTCAAGGGCATCATGGACCGCATCAGAATGGCCTGGCATGTCCTTGCTCCAGTCGAACTCGACCTCTTTATCGTTCCATGGAGAAGGCAGCCAAGGCCAATTATCGATGCAAATATCTTCAAGGGGCATATCATCGAGGTCAGCTAACAAGGGTTGCTGAATTGTGCTGCTGGAACTCGAGGCTGACTTGGTTGTGTCAAGAGCCATTTTCAAACTGGCAACAATGTCCTGGAGCTCTCCCGGTTCTGTGGTGCCCGAGGTAGCTGCTGTATCATCAGCAAGCTTGAAAAAAAAGAAGAAGAAGAAGAAAAAAGAAGAAAAAAAAAGAAATCCTAGCAAGATACACCGGAGAGGATGACGACGCTATTGTTGATACTTACGAGCAGTTTTAGGAGTGTGGGTCATGTCGGCGCTTGGCAGCCGATTGTTGGACGGCGACGGCACGGAAGCACTCTTAGAGTCGCCGACTGAGTTGGGACGATACAGGCTGGGACGGCCCTTTGGTAGACTTGCGCTATAAACACATTGAGCCCGCTTCCGGAAGCACCGATTGCACTGGTTGTTGTTTGCTGTGCTGCGGGTGCATCGCAGTTTTTGTTTATGACATCTGTCGCATGACTGTCGCTGTGGCAGTGCGGACGAGTCCTCTGGTGGTGCCATTGAAAACCGCAACAGCGAGATATACAAGGAATCTGTGCGACGCACCTGCAGCCGAAACACTCTCGTGGGTCTCTGTTGTGTTGCTTATGCTTATGGCTGCAGCACTGAAAGGCACGGTCTTTGATTCTTATAGCTAGGGGTCTTCATGTCCGGAGTTATAAACGCTTGTCTGGCCTTGCCTGCCACACCCACGTGGTCCTGCCCGCAGGTGTGGCACAAGGAAAGTCCCTGCAGGAGGACTGCTGTGCATGGTGTGAGCAATGCTGCATGTGACCTGTTCGACCCAAGCTCATGCGAGCAGAATACCCCTTCTCAAGCACGGCCCCCACAGATCATACCGCCCTGGAAATCCAGCCGCAACACCCAAGTGGTGGCGAGTGGACTTCTAGCTGGCTTATTTGCAGATCCCGTATCCCGACATGCAGCTAGGTATTGTGGCACTTGGGGCGTGCCGATCCCCCCCCCCCTTCACCAACCCATGTACACTAATTTCATGGCCTAAATTCTCAATTCTGTTCAAAGAATCATTTGTAAATTTTATTGCTTGACCTCCATGTGAAGATACAATATACATTATACTTATTAACATAGAAATAATACTATAAAAATACTTTAATAATTATTATTAATCCTTATAACTAATTGTAGGACCGTTTGTGGCGTGCAATGAATTTGTATTGAAAGTGGGTAGCAGAAAAACTAAGCCGACTAAGCCTGCTGGAAGCTATTCAAAGCCACTCCCTAGGCACACGAGGGCTAGCTGGCCTGGCAAACACCACTCCGGGACTACCACACTAATTAATAAATTACAATTTAGTAGATGTAGCTAGAAATTATCATATCACTAGTGAAAAGAACCTGCTATTTTAACAAACTCTCTTACAGTCGTAAGCCCAAAGGCCTAGACTTTTAGCCATGTAAGCATGCACGCGCTTGGCTCGGCGAATCCCGAATCCTTTGTTGAAGCCCTCGGAGCTGGCTCTTCGTTAACAGAGCCTAGGTCCACTGGGAAATCGAGGCTGCATGAAAGAAGGCACAATTTCAGCCTGCCAAGACTCTATTCAAGCCAATTGGCTTGTTCTCGGGCCTGGCAAGCGTCGCTTGATAAGGGTTGTCCTCATCTGCATTGTTGCGGTGGCTCATATTTTTTGCAAGAATGTCACCGAAGGTCTGTCGAATTTCGGTGACATTTCTGATGTAAGTGAAACGTTACAATGGAGGACCTAGCATCTTGGTCAACGCTGTGGCTAATGTCCTGCGGATGACCCAGCAGATTGGCAGTGACAGTAAGGCCCATGGCATGATTCGGATTTGCATCGGAGTCCTACATGGCAATGTCGTTGAGAGGCAAGTTTGTGCACTTCTGAGGTTATGCAGGGCCGAACAGAAAACAGCCGACACATGACAAGCGCAGTAGTCTATCTTCCATCCAGATCATGAATTCCCATATAGCAGACGTCGCCAATCCTGTTGCACACAGTAGTATATGGAATTTTCCAGATGAGACGGTGGTCAAGTGTCGAATGCCACAACTGAAAAAAAACTACATTGTCTTTGACCAAATCTCACCCCATCTTTGAATCCATACCCTTCTTCAAAATGCCTTCAATCGATGCAGCATCCCCATTGCCTCTGCGACAGACGGCCGTGGTGGCCCAGGGCGCTGGGAAACTGGCCATTCAACACGACGTTCCAATCCCAGTGCTCGCACCCGACATGGCTATCGTTAAAACGGCAGCAGTAGCCATCAACCCCGTGGATGCCAAGATTCTCGACTTCAGTCCAGCTCCGGGTGCCATTGACGGCTACGATTTCGCCGGCACCATTGTAGCTCTCGGAGAGGAGGTGACGGCCTCGGGCCGGTTCGCGGTCGGGGATCGCGTGGCGGGTATGGTATTTGGGATGAACAAGCTGAAGCCAGACATCGGCGCGTTTGCCCAGTACGTTGGGGCGTGTGCGGATATTCTGCTGAAGATTCCGAAGGACATGTCGTTTGAGGAGGCGTCTGGCCTCGGACTCGGCGTGGCCACGGCTGCCATGGCTCTCTTCAAGGAACTGCAGGTGCCCGCCTCGCTTGAAGATCTTCGGGAGGGCCTACAGGTGGAAAAGGAGCTCAAGAGCGATGATTTCGTGCTGGTGGCGGGCGGCAGCACGGCCACAGGTACACGAGCCATCCAGCTGTTGAAACTGTAAGCCCTCAACCTTGTTTTGTCCCTCTTCTACCAAGTGGAGCACACAATATGTTCAGTGAGGGTCGACACACAGGCGGTCTCAGATACGGCTTTGCGGATGATATAGTGCTGACAATTCACTCTTTTCGTAGTGCGGGTCTGCGTCCAATTGCGACATGTTCGCCGGCAAACTTCGAACTAGCCACCCGCTTCGGTGCCGAGATGATTTTTGACTACCGCAGCCCCACGTGTGCAGAGAACATCCGCGCCTATACGGGCAATCAGCTCGAGTATGCCCTGGACTGTGTGACACAGGCCGACACGACCCAGATGTGCTACGCATCTCTCGGCCGTGCGGGAGGCCGCTACGTCGCCCTCGAGCCGTTCCGCGACTCCATAGCCCAGTCCCGAAGCGCGACGGTAGAGGCATCTTGGCTCATGGTGTTGACCATCTTTGGAGGCCAGGTGGCCCTGGATGGCGACTACTACCGAGATACCAGTCCCGAGGACCGCAAAGTTGGTGCTGAACTATTTGCTGTGGTGCAGGGCCTGTTGGATCGCGGTCTCATCGACCCACATCCGGTGAAGGTCATGCCTGGGGGCTGGCATGGCGTTGTTGAGGCGGTGGATACAATCCGCAAGCAACCTCAGTCGGGCCATAAGCTAGTATGTCCGGTTTCATAGTCCTCTAGGTTCAGTAGCTGAGCGTGGATGCACAAGGGTGCTTGACAAAGACTACATATAACTCCGATCATTGTCCCGTCGCCAAGCACCCACATGCTACATAGAGCATTTCTGGAAACGTCATCAGAGCTAAGTCTTTTACGAAATTATTGGAAGAAATAGATGTTTCGACCTGTACTCGTAACACCAGAAACCTCGGTGTTTTATGTGAAATTAAGTCTGAAAGAGCTAGAGTTACAATATGCCTTAAGAGTCTCAAGGCGCAAGGTGTTGGTGTAATAAGATTATATTCAGGGGTTATAAAGTTTAAGAAAGAAGAGCATGCCTTTAATAAGCTAGATAAGTATTTAAATAATCTAACCCTAACCCGTTATATTATTACATAAATACTTAATATTAAAAAAGCTTAATGCCTTTATTAATAATTAAGTAATTTCTTTAAAACTAATTATTTATTAATTTAATTTATTAATATATTAATAATATATTTAAAACCTTATTATTAATATTATTTATATTATTAAAACTTTAATTTTAATCGCCTTATTATTATTTTACCAATTAAATAAGAAATTAAAAAGTTAATAAATATTATATAAATAACTAGCTTAAAATATCTTATTAATTTAATAAAAGAAATATCTTACATTTTTAAATTTTTTAATTTTATTAATTATTTATTTTATTTATAAACTCTTTTTAATAATTTAATTTATAAATTTAATTTTAAGTTTAAATATTATACCCCTTTAAATTATTTAATTATTAATATATTTTTAAAGCCCTTTTAAATCTTTAAGATTTTAAGCTTCTTTTAAAAGTTATTATATTTTTATTTAATTTAATTAAGTTAAATCTTTATAATATTAATAAGTCATATATTTTAATTATAAAGTTATTATATTTTTAATTCCTTTTTATTATATTTAATGTAAATAAAAAATATATTTTTTAAAGTTAAGCTTAAATTATTAAGTAAGTATTATAAAAATAATAAAAGTTTTATTAAATAAAGAAAATAATATTTTTTAAAAAGATTTATATTTGTAAAATTTTCAATTTTTTAAATATTAATTTTAATAAATTAATTTATAAAATTAATCTTCTTAATTATAAGAAAAACTTTAATAATATTAAATAATAATTAAATAAAAAAATGTTAAATAATTAAAATCGTTTTTTTAATAATAATACTTTTATAATATTTTTTTATTTTAATTTCTTTTTAAGTATTAAATGGCTGCGTGGCGCACTAGTTATGCGTTTAGCTTTTCTCCATGGAGAGCATAGGTTTAAACCCTGCCGCGGTCGCCAAGATCTTTTTTAGGAATCTTCTTTTTAACCAGCCAGGGCCCTACTTAACCCCCCCTCCCTAGCTAATAAAGCATAAAGGCAAGAAAACCCCATTAAAGTACGTAATATAATTATTATTATTATACTTTTTTTTTAAATATTTAATTTCATTTATTAAATTAATGATATATATTATTAATTTAATTTAATAAATATTTAATTTATTATATAAATATAAATTATTTATTATAATATTAAGCTTATATAATAATTCTTATAAAACTTAAAAGCTTAATAATAAATTAAAGTTTTATTTATAAAGATTTATTAATTTAAATAACTTAAATTAATAAAAAGATTTTAATTAAATAATATTTTATATTAATTAATTATAATTATTTTTATTAATTTAATAAATTTATATAAGTTATTTATCATTAAATTAAGGGGTTATATAAAGTATATTAAATTTAATAATAATATTAAGAAAAATGTTATAATTAAAGCTTATAGCTATCTTTTATTTAATTATAAGCTAGCTAAGCAATTAAGTAACCATTAGTTAATAGCTAGTTAACGCTAGCTAGCAGCCGCTATTAATAAAATTAATTATTATATACTTTTAAATTTAAGTAATGCATATTATGCATATAATGCATATAATGCATAAATATGTTATATTAATTATTATTTCCGTATTAATAGTTTTATATATATATATGCTTTAAAATCTTGTTTTCTTTAAGTTTTTTAATTAATTAAATCATTTATTAAATTAATAAGGCAATATTTAAATATTATAAATGCTTAAATCTTTAAATACTTAAATTACTTAATTTATATACTTATAAATTATATAATTATTAATATTTTAAAACTTTTTAAGTATTTAAAATGTTATGATTTAATTAATTAAAAGCTTAAGTAATAATTATTAAAGTAATTATTAATGTAATTATTATAATTAATAATAAATATTATAATAAAAATAAGTTTATTAATCTTTTTAAGCTTTTTCTTAATATTCTTTTAAGCTTTTCTTATTGTTTAAATGCTTATAATTATTAGCTAAGCATTATTATTAATAACTCTTTATTTAATTAAATAAAAAAGTTTAATTAATAGTTTTTATTAAAGTAAAGTAATTAATTAAAGGTAATTAATGCTTATATTCTTAATTTATAATTATTATTAATATAAATATTATTAATTTATAATTATTATTAATGTAAATATTATTATTGGCGGGTGCAGGGAAAATACGTGAGAAATGATACTGCGCTGAATTCCAGCTGGCTATAAAAAGCTAGCTTTTACGCTTATTTTAAACATTCTTAAAGAAATCAACTCTTCTCTTTTCTTTTATATTTAATGCTTTAATTAAGCTTTTCTTATTTTTAAGAATTTTTAAAATATTTATCTTTTCCCTTTTTTTAGCTTCTTTTTATTTTTATCTTTCCTCTTTACTGCATTAAAGCTCCTCCTTAAGTTATTCTTAAAAGGGTTTAGTAAAACCTATTTTTTATTATTTAAGTAGCTTATTTTTATTAATAATTTAGCTTAAGCATGATTTTAATTTTATATATTTTTAATTAATAATAAGAAAAATAAGGAATTAGCTATAAGTTAATTATTTATTAATTTTATTTCTTTTTTTATTTTTATATTAAATATTATTAAATTATTTTATATTTTAGCTTAAAGCTTTAATTAAAGCTTATATTTATTTTTAACTTATTATAAAGAAGAATTAAATATAATTAAACTTATAATAATATTATAAATATCTTAAAATTATTTTTTATTATGGGCTAGCCTTGGGTTGTTTGCTGTAAGGTGTTTAAATAGGGTTTATATTTAAAGTGCAAAGGAGAAGGTTCACTCTCCATCTGCATTTATACTGAAGCCTATTTTTATAGGGCCAAAGCCTACTAATTAATCACAATGGGCAAAGCTTAAACCATAATATATCTTCCTTCTTTAAGTCCTTATAGCAGGCCTTAAAAGGCAGCTATATAATAAAAAATAAAGAATATTATGGTTTAATTATAAATTAAATATCGTTCTTTACCTAGCCATTTAATTATACCTTGGCGCCTCTTAATTATATTAAAAGCTTAGCTTATTATTTATAATTAATATACTTTAGCCCTTATAATTTAATATATTAACCAAAATAAGTTAATAAAAAATAATTATTTAAGCATAAGCTAGCGGCTAAATTAATAGCATTTTTATAATTCTTTAATGCAAGCTTTTTATATAAGCTCCCTTACTTAAAATCTTAAAATTATAAATTTATTATATAATTTGTAATTAATTAGCGCTTAATTATAAGTAATTTACTTTATTAATAGGAATTTTTTAAATTTTAAGCATTTTTATAAGGCTGAATTAATTAATATATAGCTAATTCGCTTTAAGTTTAGGCTAGCGCTAAGTTGGTATTACTTTTAAGCCTTACCTTATAGAAAAAATTTTACGCCCCCTTAAATAAACTCCTCCCCCTTATTAATCTTAGTTAATAAAAGTTACACCCTTAATTTCTTATAGCGGTTAGGGTAATTATACTTATAATGGCTAAGTTAGCTATATATAAAATACTTAACTTTGCTTATTAAAATCGCCGTAATATTAATATTTATTGCTTTGCTATTTTAAGGTTAAGTATTATCCTTCTTTATTATAACGCTAAAAACGCCCTTATGTTGCTATAAGGTAAAGTAAAAGGCCTTAAATATATTTAGCTACTTCTTATTAAAAATAAGCCACCCAAATAATAGGGGATAGGTTCTGCTAAACCCTCTTAAGGATAACTTAAGAAGGAGCTTTAATATAATAAAAAGGAAAAATAGGAATAAAAGGGAATTAAAAAAAAGGAAAAGATAAATATTTTAAAAATTCTTAAAAATAAGAAAAGCTTAATTAAAGCATTAAATATATAAGAAAAGAAAAAAATTAATTTCTTAAAAAAATATTTAAAATAAGTATAAAAGCTAGCTTTTTATAGCTAACTAAAATTTAATATAATATTATTTTTTATATAATTCCTTATACTTATTAATATATCTTTTTTTAAATACTTTATAATAAATATTATAAAAATTATTAAAATAAAACTTTATTATTTTTAATTAAGCCTTTAAGTTTTAAAATTTATCTTATTATAATTTTAATTATTATTATTATTTTTAATTTCTTATTTACTTATTTTATTATAACTTTTGCTTTTTTATAAAAGCTTTAAATATTCTTAAAATTTACTTAATAATATATTTATTAATTATATTCTTTTAATTATTAAAGTTTACTTTAATAATTAGTATTAATATAATTATTAAAGATTTAAATATCTTTATAAAATAAAAAATAAATTTATTCTTCCTTTTAATTATTATATTAAGTATAGCATATTAGCTTTATTAACTTTTATTTTTACTTTTTATAAAGCTTTTGCTTTTACTTTTATTTTTTATAGCATTTCTACTTTTAATATTTATACTTTATATTTAATTACTTAGCTAGCTTATTTATAAGCCTTTTAAATTATTTTTAAGTAAACTTTATTATTATTTTAATTATTTTAAATTAATTAATATACTTTAAGTTTTATTTATATTTATTATTAAAATAAATAAATAAAAAAAATCTTTATATATATTAAGGTAAGCATTTTTTATTAGCTTTAAAATATTTTATAGCATAAT